GGCCCGTGGGCGTGCGCTAGATGCGCAGTCCACAACCTTAGGCCATTTCATGAACTAAACCTCAATTTACCTCAACCCATCTCTTGAAACTGAACATATAATGACCTGAACTGACTAAATGAACATGAATTGTTCGATGAAATCTGAACAGAACTGAAGATCACTCGGTTAGACCCCTCACGGCCAACACCGAGCTTAATCAAGAACTGTACATGATTACTCCGACAAGAGCTGACTAAACTGACTTGAATATAACTTGATTAACATAAGAAGAAGTTAAACATGATATTACCTTCTTATGTACTCGGAGAATTCTCATGGACGGCCATAATTTCTTATCTCCGCACATAAGCGCACGGTCGCACAAATCTAAGGCTATCTTCTTGATCAATTCTTGCTGAGTGATTATTAAGTATTTCCCCTGAATTCTCCCCTCTTTCTCTGAAAATATACCGCCTTAATGCACGGAGAAAACGAGTGAAAAGGTTGAGATGTTGGCTCGGCCAATGATCGAGCACCAAGTGCCGTACGTTTAAGGCCAAAGAGTGGCACTTAGGGGGATGACTCACCTCTTTCTTTGCTTAGTCATGCTCAAATTAATACTAGCCCTCCATGTGTCCTTTGACTTAAGCTAATGCACATGAAATTGAAGGAATTTGGGCGTTAGGCATGCTAACCTCGGTTAGCCGCACTAATGGCATGCTTAGGGCTAATGTATGTGCTCAAGTGCTAATGCATGATCTTTGCCCTTGCTTAATGATAAATCACGCTAATGACTTACTTATTAACACCTTAAGCATGATTATCTCTTAATTAATCCTCATTAATGTTTGTTAATCTTAATTAACATTAAACTAATCATGATTATCTTAAACTAATCTCAATTAATTAGCTTAAACATGATTAAGTTAATTAAGCACGGCTATTGACCATTACTTAATTAACAATGGACGGTGTACCAATGTGAACGCGTCACAGTATAGGTATACCGAACTTGACATGAGGAACTTTAACTGGATTAACTATCGGAATATTATTCCGAACATGAACATGACATTCGAAAGTTAATTCGAATATTCTTGACTTTGACGATTAATCCGAACATAAATCTTTCGAATAATTCGTCAACTTGACTTATTAATTCCAGACTCATTAACTAATTAAATGAATCGGAATTAAAATCTGAAAACTTATTCGATTATCAACCGAATAACGTATATCGACTAATAGTCGAACTTAGAATCTGATTGACTGAATTGCTTGAACTTGAACATGAACATAATTATTTATTAACAAAGGCTAGCTTAATATT